TTAGGTCAAACCCCAATTAGACCTAATTAATCCTTTAAGCCTTCCTTAAATTAGGCTTGATTAACTTTCAGTCCTAATTAGGTCTAACACCTATTAGACATAATTAATCATTATGTCTTAGCTAAATTAGGCTTAATTAACCTTAAATCCTAATTAGTTCTAACCCCAATTAGACATATTTAACCCTTTAAGCCTCACTCAAATTAGGTTTAATAAATCTTCAAATCCAAATTAAGTATAATATACATTAGACTTAATTAACCTCTTAACCATTACTTAAATTAGGCTTAATTAATCCTAAACCCTAATTAAGTTTTACTCATATTAGACTTAATTAATATTTTAAGCCTTTCTTAAATTATACTTACTTAACCTAAAATCCTAATTAAGTCTAACATATATTAAGACTTAATTAATTTTTTAAACGTTACTTAAATTAGGTCTAAACCCAACCCACACCCGTAGGTTCAACCTAACTGGAACCTAAGTCAACTCAAATCCCTAGGTTCAACCCAACTTAAACCTAAGTCAACCTAAGCCCTTAGGTATAATATACATTAGACTTAATTAACCTCTTAACCCTTACTTAAATTAGGCTTAATTAATCCTAAACCCTAATTAAGTTTTACTCATATTAGACTTAATTAATATTTTAAGCCTTTCTTAAATTATACTTAACCTAAAATCCTAATTAAGTCTAACATATATTAAGACTTAATTAATTTTTTAAACGTTACTTAAATTAGGTCTAAACCCAACCCACACCCGTAGGTTCAACCTAACTGGAACCTAAGTCAACTCAAATCCCTAGGTTCAACCCAACTTAAACCTAAGTCAACCTAAGCCCTTAGGTTCAACCAACTTGAACCTAAGTCAACCGAAATCCTTATGTTCAATCTAACTTTAACCTAAGTCAACCCAAACCCTCATGTTCAACCCAACTTGAACCTAAGTCAACCTAAAACAACATAATCCTTAGGTTCAACCCAAATTGAACCTAAACCTTAGGTTCAACCTACATTGAACCTAAACCCTAAGCTACATTGAACCTAGTTCAACCTACATTGAACCTAAACCCTAAGTCTAACCTACATTAGACTTGATCAACCCTTTTAGGTTCAACTTAGATTGAACATAGACAGTTATGTCTAGCCTAACCTAAATATAACTTAAGTCTACTCAGTCAAGCCAATCTGACCTAACTCAGGTTAGATCCAAATCAACTAAACCTTTGAGTTGACTTAACCTAATCTAGGTTAACTAGAATCTTACTTTAGGTTAGTTCAATTCAAAAAGAACTAATCAAATATGACTAAAGGTTAAGCAGGGTTTTGCTTTTTCGTATGAGGACGAAAAGCTCTCTTAACCTTAGTTAAGGTCAATTAGGACAAACAATCAAAACAACTTTAAACCAACAGGCATAAAACTAATTAATCAAACCCTAGATCAACCAACATAAAATTCACCCTAAAAGATACTAAAACTTAAACTCAAACCAAAAATACAACATGGTTTGAGAGGAAATATTGGGAGAGGCAACACATGGCTGCTAACAAAATGTTCTCTAGTTAATCAAACCACATACTTTAATGATCTGGAATGACAAAACTATGGAATCTTGATTGGATCATTACAAACGATAAAAAATATATATATAAAAATGACAAAGCTTAATCATCTAATAAATCATAAAAAACCTAAAAATTTTCAACCATTAAAAACCGAAAAAAGACATTAAAACTTAAATGAAACCCTAATGAACAAAGAACACCAAACGCAGCTTGAACTTTAGCGTTCGGATCTACATAGAACTCTTAGACGACGCAATCTGAGGTTGCTGACAAGAATGTTTCGGTCTTGGTTTAACCAGGTTTAACCATATTTTGGACTAAGTAGATCTGAATACCCTGAAGACCCCAGGACGATAGAGTCATAAACATCTTGATCGGGTTGTCTAAAAATTAAAAATTAAACAAACTAAATCAACAAATTAAAACATAATTCTGTATTAGCTTCGCTACACAGGGTCACTCAGGATAAAAGGAGAAAGGCATCCTATATTTACTGTACAAGTTATGAGAATGTACTAATTTTGTTTTGCAGTGATGAAGTTCCAAAACTCGAAAAGACAAATTTCAACTGAATATTTTAACAACAGAACAAAACAAAACAACAAAACAACGATAAAACAAAATAAAAATAAATAGTAAAACACAACAAAACGCAAATGACAAAGCAAAACAAACAATACAATGTAATAAACAACACGTTTAGGTAGTATCAAATCTTCAGGAATCTGCTACCTTTAGGACGGAACGTTAACGTTTCTTTCCTTAATAACACTTAAACTTTTTGAGAACAAATGTTAACCTTAATCGAAAGTTTTCTTAGACAGTCTTAACTGCCTAGGATGTTAACTATAGAAGTGTGCTCTTATAGGAGAATAAGAATCTCAGAATATGTATCATACCTAAATCTCTGGTTATGGGATTTTCAAGCAGTTTTCTTTGTACGAGTATATCTCAGGAGTCAAAGGCTCCAGAGTTCTCTCTACAATGTTTACCACAATGAAGTTCTCCCCACACTTTTCTTTTATTTATTTTCTATTCTCATTTCCCCTTTCCTTTCTTCTCCAAATTTCTTAATATCTTAAGGTCACTTATATGATCTGAGAAAAAAAATTATTTGAAGAATAGGGCAATGTAATAGACAACAGAGTAGCGACTCCTCGACAGCAATGACACCAAACAAATGACGGTGAATTGGCGGCGACCAGTCCGACAGCAACCACAATGTCCAAGTCATTAATAACAACTTGACAAACGACCAAATGATCAAATTAGCTCTAAATATTTGGACTCGAACACATTAAATTTATCTCATCAGATCGCATTGTTGTTAGTAAAACAATGGACCTTACGTGCAATTGTCCTAAAAATGTCAAGTCCTTGCATCATAGTGTTGAGTTGGTACTCATTGAAAATAACCCAAAGGCACAAAACAAGCTAAGCTGTAATAGTAAACCATACTAATGCATAAGGAGGAATCTTATATGTTAACCTCCCAATTGTTAGTAACACGGGAACTTTCCACTTCAACAAAATTTCACATAATGGTGGAATCGACGAAATCTTGTGATCCTGCAAAATTCCTATGCAGAAAAGAGTGGCTTTAGCGATCGCGGGAGGACAAAACGAGAAGTTCTCGTCCAGCTGGCAAATTCAAGTAGACATTTAAACTTTTTAGACTTGCTTCCATTTTTTTTAATTAGGATTATTTTCTATTAATAGATTATATATTATTGTATTTGGTTATTTTTTGAGACATTAACTTGGTTTTATGTATTTTTGGTAATTATTCTCTAATGTTCCACTCATTAAAGTGTTGTAGCTTGCCCAGGAATACATGGTGGATCCGCATCACTATTCATACGGTGTCGTTTCATCATTCAATTTCTGCTTTCAGTCCGGGCAGCTGCCAAACATTTCCCTACCTCGTCCCAAACACCATCGATATCCCATATATTCACTTCCTTTTAATCCCAAATCATTTCCCCACTAATTTTCCTTCTTGAACACGTTCTAGGAGTCCTAAAACGGTGTTATTTTGTCGAGAAGTTTACTAGGAATAGTTAATCCTTAAGAGTCATCAATTGATGATACTGAGGAAACAAGGAAGTGGATGTTAAGTGACGGTAACACCATCAACTTTGGCTTTGCAAGGGTCTAAAGCTGATTTGGCAATGTCAAGACAATAATAGGGCAGAGCGAAGGAGAGGACCAAGAGGAGTATGTTACACTAGGTATGCACAACCAACAAAGAAACCATCCTACAAAGTGAGTTTATAGTTTTCTTGATGTGCACTATTAGGGAAATACTAACTGAATTATAAAAGCAAAAGATAAAAACATAAGTGATACTTCATCAAATCAACGACCCAAGGCCATGACAAAACATACAGATCTAAATATAATTTATCCTCTTTGCAAGCAATAATCATGAAGCAGTCTTGAAAATGTGACTTTGTCAATAAAACAGAAAATTTTTCAAAACAAAAAGTCCAAGAATGGATTTCAATCTTCTAAGATATATTTGATTCCCATATCTATCCCACATTCAGTTTAGCACTCAAAAAAACTTTGAGCCGTCAAGAAAGTTGAAAGAAATAAAATAACATTTGAAGGGTGTAAGTGGACTATAAAGATAATAGGGAATGTAGATCCAGCTAAAAATATATCATGATCTCATAAATAATATTACTGAGCATTTTAGAATTATATAGCAATAGCAATTGTCATGTTTAAATTCAAAAAAAGGGGAGAATGCAAGGCCTGTTAATGATGGTCAAATACAATGAAAGCCATAATATAGAGGATGGCGAACAAAAGTCAAAATTTAGGAGAAAATAGTGGATGACAGTTCGTGAGGTAAAATTGACTCTTTTCAAAATCCTTGATGCTTCCACAGGAGATATGTTTCATACATTTAGAATTGATAATTTTGATAAACTGCCTTCAATTAGAATATGATGTACAGTAGAACATATAATTGAAAGAGAACACTTTTTCAACAATATTGGGGGCATCTTCCCATCATACAACTTTATAGATGCTTAAAGAGGCATGGACAAAAGAGTCCCAAAATACCATAGGCCTTTAGTGGTGTGCACCAGAGGCTTATGGTGGTGCAGCATTGGAAAGGGAGCATTGTTAAAAAGGTCCTAGTTAAGGAAGTTAATTGGGTCATATAAACTTGAAGTTGGATCAAACACAAGGCCATGAATGTATACGGATACTTTACATAATGGGATGAATTCAGATTTATAGAAAGGGATAATATTTATTCAAGGAGTTAATAAACACAACTTCAATTGATATAACAAACCTAAACCTCTTTAAAACTTTTTGCCACATTACATCAACGAGTTATGAGTTCAATTTTTTCATTTAAAAACTAATGATATATGCTCATACAAGTACCCAATAAAAAAAAAACCTAACCTTCTCAAGCTTTGACTCAATCTCACGAATTGCCTTTATAAGCTCAACAGCTGTTCTTAATCTCATTTGATCAGCATATGAGATTACATTAAATTCAGCCTGAAAGGAAATGAGAATAGTGAATCACCATACTAAAACTATGTGGAAGATAAGACCATGGCATTAGCAAAACAAACAAGGCAGGAAAAAGGAGAAAGCTTGAAAGGCATAAAGTTTATTTTTTGGCGACCATACAATAGTATTTGAGATAAGTGATCACAAATTGCCACCCATTAAGTTGGGATAAAGATAATGATGATGATGATTCTGTATTACAATCCAAAATGTGAACTTCCTTAAACTAAGAATCAAGCATTACATCAGCCCAAAAGGAATAGGAATATTACCTCAAAAAGTTGGTCAAAGTTTTAAACTAATATAGCTTGAAAATTAAGGGACTTCAAAATAAAAGGAATTATCACCTCAAAAATTTAAATATGTAAATACTGCAATCCTTGAAATTTTTCCACGCATTTATCGTATAAAATACAGCTAATTAAAGATACAATATCTGCACAATTTTGAATTAATTTTACAAATACCACTCTTAAAGTATAATCAAAAGAAAAAAATTAATAATTAAATAACATGTGAATCATACATGAAATGCAGACTTCTAACAAGCCTTTCATAAAAGAATAATAATGATATTGTTTTAAAAATTTCGAACTTGGGCTTATTTAGATGGAATATTCAAGTCTTTTATCTGACTAGCTCTTACAATATATTAGTGTGTGTACACAATGGAAAGTGAAGAACATCGAAAAAAGTTCAAATAAACTGTGGGTGTGATTACAGGTCAAAGATCGAAGTTTTAAATATTTAATATCTTTCAAATTTCCTTTCCCTCAAACTTCTGTCATCCAAAAAGAGCAGTATTTCCCCAAAGAAATCAACAACATGCCTTTGATGCGGCTTTTGAAACACAAATCAATGTAATGGGTACATTATATCTATCCTCCTCAAGTTCACAGTTCACAGTATATCAATAGCTGCCCGCTACAAAACTCCCGATTACAAAAGTTAGCTAATTTCAAACTAGGCCCTATAATTAAATCTAGGAATTAATTGAAACTTGTGGAGAACTTGAAGAATCTAACAGTAATTATTCTAACTTAACTGGAGGAAAAAAAACAATTGAAAATACACTTTTAATTTAAACCCATCATGTGATGAGTATAAATTGTGCATTTGTCAAATTCCAACGTGCAAATAGCCGCAGTAACATTGTTTTGGGAGATTTAAATTTTAGAAGCTAGCATGCTTCTGATACTCCACTGTTTAGTGGATTGTTCAGCTTAATCTCTCTTCACAACAGGGTCGATCCATATGAAAATGGTGAGACATTATTAGTATTTTTCAGTGATGTCCCTTCAGAAAGATGAACCTTCTCAAAATTATTCTCAACAATTCAACACCTGAAAGTTCAGTTTTTCACCATCGATACAATTATGAGTTTGTCAGCCTCGGGGTAGTATATTCAAATCATCAATCAAATATTCAATTGCCACCATACCTTTGAGGTCGAGTCTTTGTCAATTGCCTAGGTAAGGACAGGCTGGACAGGTTGAGCCGAAGCAACATTATTTGGTCAAAATTAGAACAAGAAATGGCACAATGTTCATCATTCATCATTGATAATCAGAATAAATATTCTACATATAAGAAATAGAATTCCCAGCAGACAATATTAAATGGAATACAACTCAATTCACTTGGAAAAATGGGGTATCTAATATTTTTTTTTCTCTACAATATAGTAGCCCAATAAAAGTTCCTTATCTCGAATGGCACTAATTGTCAATGATCATCCCATTTGCCACAATAGTGCTGTCAAAATCACTACCTACAATGTACGTCATTGATGCCTGCCCCACTGGCACCCACCACATGCAATAAGGGTGATCGTGTTTTTACAGTAGTCAGCATAATTGTTATTATTGAAGTGTAGGATTTGGGAAATTTTCTACTATCATTTTATACATTGAGAAAAAATTAATTATGGGTCTTAAGTAATTATAATAACATTCTTTAGGCATTCAAAAATTCAAGGTCTTGAGTCAAATGATGGCAGCGATCACTCGGCTGATTAAGGAGTCGAGATCACAGCCTATCAAAAGTGATGCGGTCAATGTGGATAAATACTTGAAGATATTTCAAGATCTACATTCACCTCTGTTCAAGGAAACTGAAGACCCAATTGAAACGGCGAACAAGCTAAAGAGGATAGAGAAGATACTAAATAGCATGGCTTGTCGGGATGAAAGAAGAGTATCGTTGTCGACGTTTGTGCTGAATGAAAGAGCGAAAAGCTGGTGGCATGGGCAATGTCGAGATAGGTTAGGGGTCATACCTAACAAGATGATAAGTTGGGAGTTCGTGGACCTTTTTAAAGAGTGGTTCATATCCCTTGTTGCTCGACGACTGGTGCAGGACAAGTTCATCAAGTTGAGGCATGGAGAGAGGACAGTCATGCAATACAAAGTAGAATTCACTGCACTATTGAGGTATGCGCCACAATTGATTGCTACTGCAGAAGAAAAGTGCTACAGATTCTTTTAGGATTAAAGGCTGTTAATACACTTAGGGATTGATGAATACTCAATATCTGTAGAACGAACTAGAATAGTAGAGGTTGACCATCAGCTTACTCAGAAGCGCAAGGAGATGCATAAGAGGAAGAGCATCGAAGAAAAAGGAGATCATTTGGATCAATCAAAGGGTTCAAATCCAACAATAATTCAATTGGAGTTAGCAGAGGTACAACTCAAAGTATTGGAGTCACTTGTGTCAAATGCGGAAGACAACATAAAGGTGACTGTTTGATGAGCTCTATCACTTGCTATTGGCGTCGTCAACCTGGTCATACAGCAAGATATTGTCCATCTCTTGGCCATAAAAGCAATGAATATCAGAAATCTGGTGGAGCACCTTCACAAAGTCCACAGGCGGGCAGACAAAGATAGAGTCTACAGCTTTAGCTCCGACCCAAGGTCAACAAAAACCCATTTGACCTCAAGTACATTCCTTCAATCGTAGTGAGCCTGAAGAACCTACTGCTGCTGATGGTGATGAGATCTGATTAGTGGCATTTTCCAGCATGTTTTCGTGCTTCAATAAATAAATGATCCAAAGTATAATTGAGTGGCCTTCTATCGAGTTTTTATCTTTATAGTAATTACTTTACATGAATGATCCCTAGCTTCATGAATATCAAATGTCAACTTGTTGATGAAAAATGACTTGAGGTATGTTTATAAATTTTGAGGATAAAATTTTTATGAGTTAGGAGGATTGTGATGACCCACTTCATGCGACAATCCATTTTTGTTACCGGAAGGAAGAAGAAATTGAAGAAAATGAAGGAAAAGAGGAAGATGAAATGAGTAGTCGGGAAGCCGGAGAGGGGAGAGATGAAGCAAGAAAACGACAAATTGAAACGAGCAGATATGAAGCCTACATGGCGAGTTTGCCCATAAAGCGACGAAATAGAGCCGAGAGTTACTTACCACGAGATCAGAGAGTGCGAGAGACGAGCATAAGCTAGGGTTTCTCTGTAATCGAAGAAGGGGAAGAGAAACAAAAAAAGACGGCTCGAGCAAAGAAGAGGAATTTGACGTCGATAACAACCCACAATCGAAGGAGTTCAGTCGAGCTTTGAGCGGTTTGGTGCAAAGGAGAAGGAGAGAAGGAAGCTGGGAGCAGTGAAGGAGCCTGTGCCCTAGCCTACCAACAAAGAAACGAGGAAGGAGCATCATAGAGGAGGGAGGGTCAAGCTCGTGCATCGTCGAGCAGGCGAGGAAGCTCGTGAGGGAGATCCTTCTATGCAGTTTGAGAAGAAGAGTTTCTTTTATTAAAGTAATATAATATAATATATATATTCTATTGGGCCCTCTCATACAACTTTTTTGTATCCTTTTATATTTCAATATATTCTGCCCTACGGCTTCCATAAATATATATATATATAGTCATGACCTTCTGTGACCAAAATACTTATAGAAAGAGATATTATTTTACCTGATTTATTGAAGTCAGGTTGGGCACAACTCATGATGGATATTAACAACAAATCGTCATGGAACACAGACCTCCATATTGTACCCACTGTAAGATGTTTGAACATATCTTTGATAAATGTCACAAGCTTCATTCTAATTTGAAATCTAAGGTTCAAGTGGATAAGGACGGGTCTAACCCCATTGCTTTGAATATTATAGTTCTACCTGAGGAAGATACTGTCAGCCATGAGGTGTCTATTGCCCCTGTGGACCCCCCTGACTCTGCAGTTACCGTTACTGCGATTGATGTGATGTTGGTACCTTCAAAACCAATAGAAAACAATACTGAATGAATATTACCCACAAAGGATAGTGTTCAGACTGATAATCAGAAGAACCTCGCAGCTCCCCATCTTTAGGAAGTATCTGGTGTAGAGACAACTCATACTTTACATATACTGGAACCTATTGTGGGTACTACGGCTTGTAATCCTTCTGCTACAACTCTACCACCTCATCAGACTGATTCTTTGGATGAAGAATGACAAGTTTACACTTCCAGGTTCCAGGAGGAAGAAGAGGAAGAAGAAAAATGGAGATCTACTTGAGCTCAGGAGTCTTATGGATGATACTTTGGTTACTTCGAGTGTTAGCTAGATTCCTTTCGAGAACTAGAGGCAGATGCATAACTAAATTTAAGTGACCCTTACTTTTTCAGCGCCCTAGTGCTTTTGGGCTTTTTTTATTTTTATATGTACCCTTTTTGACTTTTGTGTGTGTTGTACCGTGTAGATTGAGTGTCTATTTTTAGGCTCACTCATACAACCTATTTGTATTATTTCTCTTTAATATATTAGCCCTTGGGTTTTTTTTTTAATA